AGAGAGAGAGAGAGAGAGAGAGAGGGGGGAGATAGAGAGAAACAGAGACAGGCAGAGACAGAGAGAGAGAGAGAACACTTGAGGCTACACATATTTTTTACAAGCACCCCACTTCTTGCGCCGGGCGCGGAAAACCTCGTTACAGGGTACTAGGGCGACGGTTCCCAACGGCAACCGAAATAGTTGTGTGCGATGTCGCGGTGACGTCGTGTTTGCTTACTGGAACAGTTCTGGAATTGCCGAAGAGTACCGCGGGTCAATTGATTCATTGTCAGTTGACCGGTTTCTCTGGTGTTGAGGTTAGGCGGACAGCTCTTGCTCGCAGGAAAGTTCGAATTGTGAGTGGAGAGCACTTTTTATCGAGTATCTCGGTCTTTCTGCTGGGACGTTTTGTCCATCTCTGTCCGGGTTGGCCCTTTTAGGCAGGGTCGAAGCCGGCCTCCTAAATAGTATAAAAAGTGTCAATGGAGGTATAAAACGCTTACATTAAAAAAGAAAAGCAGCTGTTGCTTGAGACACACCCTGCAATATGCTCCCCCTCTCCAGTGCACGTATGCCTGGTTTAAAGCTTAACGCTTTGCATCCACTATTTTCCACCCATTTTGAATGGTCGTCCGATACGCTGCAGCCACACAACTGAAACGAGCTACCGGTTTTCGTGATTTTGTCAAGTATCTTCTTCCCTACACCAGGATGCTGTATGCTTCTGTTGGCTATGTTTGGCAGGTTCGAAACTGCCTGCCTCTTTTATGTAGTTTAAATTATGTCTTTGGGTTTGTTGATAGTGCTTCCTAACCTCGCGCAAGGAATGGGTCTACAGTCTACCCTGTAAAGAGGGTTTTCGGGGCTCCGGTTGCTGTTCCTTGTTCGCGCCATGACGTCTGGGACCACGAAAAGGAGGGGGAAAATCAGTTTCGGAATGTTCATTTTTTTAAATGTGAGAGATCTTCAGTCAAGGATGTACCGCTATATTATAATACAACATGCTGTGCTGCTCAGGATGGATTCGTTCCCTTGCTTATATACTCGAACCGGTTGGAACGATCACTCGTTCAAGACCTGAACAAACGACCGCTCCCCC